AAACAACTGACCAATGTCAACCAAAGGGAGAGATTGTTGTGTTGTGGGGAGTGATTTACAAGGTGCAGGGAATGAAAAGCTTATTTTTCTCACTTTTCACATGATTAGCGATTGAAAGTGAACGATTGTAGGGCGATAACCGTTATGCAGAGGCACCCCAGGGTTCAGGGTGACTTCACTGCAATACCAAATGATTTTCACTAATAATACATTTAAGAGTGGAAAAACCGTTCAGCTATGACACCCTTGCGGTGCATAGCTACCAACCCACCCGAGAGAAGCACGAAGGCCGGAATACTACCAGGGTGCCCAAGCTTAGAAAGGAGATGTCGAGGTGCCAGCGTTTGTTTCGAACCACGAACCTTCTGGTAAGTAAGTTTGCCTCTCTTTAACTGAGTTTATCGAGTTGTGAAGAGCTTCGTCGGTGAAACCTACTGGTCTATCAGTAACCGAATTTGCTAGTGAGTTTACCTCGTTACCATCATTGTATTACGAGAACCAGTACCCTCACAATAAACAGGACAAAATTGGTCGGTGAGTGTCTGGGTGCGTAATCCAAATAAAGTGAACAGTTTCAGCTCAGCGAGTGTCACTTGATTCCTATATCATAATCTAGATCTTATCCAGGGGAAATTACCCTCGACCCACCCAAGTTGGGTTGAAATTGTCACGTTCATCTTTATAATTAGAGTGAAAACGAACAGTTGGATCTTTCAGATTTCACGAGTACATATAGGAGAATGCTTTAGTGTTTAACCGTGACTTTAACCGAATCAGTCGAGATTATAAGAGTGATCGAAATGCACTCAAATTTACAGTGATTTAACAAACATTCCCCTAGAACAACTAAGCAGACATCCATTACTGTTATGGAACTGGAAAATAGATTATGCTGTGGTATCGGACCTCAGGATGTTACTGGAGCCGTTAAATTCATGTGTTTTTTATGCGGTTTCCAAATCACATTAACCACATATCCCTGTCAGCTAGCAATGAAAACTGTGGACGCCGTTCAGTGTGCTCGTTAAGGTTTGGCGTCAGCAACACCTGAGCAGATAAACTGGAACATGCATACCTCTACTTAGGGGCGTTTTCAGGGATGATTCACATAGGGATATCGTCCGTCTGCATGCTGTGTGCCATTACCTATTGGTGTCTAGCTGGCTCCATACTGGCCTATGGTTTCTGTTCCTGTCTGTTTGAGTGGTTTTTTTCTTGTGACTCAAAAACAAACCGGCATTTGATGATTATTGAATTTCCGCAGCCTAGATTTTGCCTATCAGATTTAAGAAGCGGAGGAATTTGAGCTGTATAAATAGGACTTGATCCCATTTTATGTATCGATTGTAAGACTCCTATAACAAAGGGATAGGGCAATGCTTCTAAACACGTATACGGTGGCACCTGGTTTGTTCGACCAAAAACGTTAACTTATGGAGAAACTGAATATATGAACCGACAACATTCTTAAAAAAACAGATGGAGCCATTTTGAATAAGCCAGAATGGCTTTGAGTAGAATGTATCGGTATACTCCCGATTTTTCGGTCATTTTGAACGATTTTTACTTTTCTCGGAAATTCCTGAGCAGATGAGCAAACCTCAAACCTTGGAACATATTTTCCTATTAGATAGAAATGAAAAAAAATATTGAAAAAGATTTTGCTACTTTGGCACATGATAGCTTTACTGCCTGTGAGTGATTTCTTGTTAGGTATTTGGAACCCACAGTAATCTTAGGGAATATACACTCATTTGCAAACTAATTTAGAACCCAGCTGAATCTCTCGTTTGTGATGTTTTTAGGCTGTCGACGGATTTTCAGCAACCTTATGAGTAGTACATTACAAAGATATCCACAGGAATCTTGTTTCAGAGGTGCCAACCGTCTGCTGGCGGGCTCATTCTGGCCCATTCACATCAAGGGAGGGGAATCACGGTTGTTATTGGAACTCATCATTCTGCACATCATTTCTAGTAACGGGATTTGATCTTTGGACCCATGAAATACGGGACCTGAGTGAGTGCTGCTCTAACTCAGAAGGCTGGAGGGGTTAAGATCATAACATCTAAACATGCGAACTTATTCACACTTTGAGTATTTGAGTTGGTACGACCTTATAAACGTTTACTCACCAGGCTCCTGAATAAGGCTGTTCTGAGGGAGGTTGGTGGAAGATAAATGCAAGTGTTATTCGAATTATCGAAATACCTTCCATCCCAAAGAATCACTCAGAGACTTGGACATATTTAATATCACCTGGGGCAATGGGTGCAGTGAAATGCAAGCATCATAATTCCGTTGTGTTCTAGCTTGTAGACATCAGTTGTCTGTATATGGCGTTTATCGTCATACAGTTGGGCATTGGTAATTAATCATGGTAGATTTTCCAATTGATTCTTCAAAAAATACGAACAAAGCGGGTTCTAAGAACAGAACAGTTTTGCAACTGCCTAGCAGTTCCCTTCACTCAACTAAATTATCGAACGGGCACCCCGGAAGCCATAGGGAAGATACTGCGGCGTTCTTTGTGTGTTCTACGGGAACAAGAATCCGCATGATTTTGTCGGAATTAAGGGAAACATGTCCTTAAATTGGAACTGGCAACCTGTATGTACATGATTCTGAGCACTGACACGTATAGATCCACGATGTGAAAAACTTAGGTTGTCAGTCACGAAACACGAAATGCGGTCAATCTGCTCTAACGAATACTAACAACATCAAAAGCCGCACAGAGTTTTGACCAATACTCATCATGTCGTTTTCAAAGGTACATAAAAAAAAGCGGTCACAGTTCTACTGTTTCCGGGGGGGAGGTGTTGAATTCATGTAAACATCAGGACCCCTGGGCCATCGCGGCTTATCAAACAAAGTGTGCCGCTGTCTCGTCGACAGTGCTAAACACGGTAACACATCAGCATGTGAACATGGTCCACACATTACAAGCGTGTTCCGTCCCATCTACCTATGTCGGGTTTTCGGAACAGCTGATATACACACCATGAGTACCAACTGGCCAAAGCCGAGATTCATTGATGTCAAAGCACTCCAATGTCTGTCTCATGTTAATTGAACATTTTTTCCTGCAGCCGGTTCAGTTACCTTCGCGATGATAACCCATAGAAATCCATAGAAATTTGGATTAAACCTCAAAGAATTTTCTCAATTTTGCTTAGTTTCCCGATTAACTCCTTTGCTTCGAAAATCGGTTGTATTCCCCCATCTGTAAAAATTGTGAATTTCATCTTTGAAGCAAGAGCAATCCAAAGTGCGTAATTATCACAGACAGGTATACAAGAAATGTTAGGTTTTCAGGATACCTGATGATTACACTTGATGAATCAAGGCTTAGAAGATGTGTCTATTTTTCCTCGATAGTTGCTGGTATATATTGCAACAAAGATTTATATGTATAAGCATCCCACAGCCACCAAATAACCCCTACAATAGTCACAGTTTAATATATCAACATCATATGTTTGCTCCGGAATAAAGTAAGAACAAATGGCGGCGTGGTATGCTTTCACAAGGACGGACTAGAGCGTATTACATGACATCAACGCAGAGGAATGTTGAATAAACACAGCAAGTTTAACTAACCGAATTTCCATTTACCTCAATTGTATCTTTGCATAAGTTCCAACAAAGTCACTTATGATGAGCTCAGGTAAAGCCAGGAGATGGGAGCTATCTCGAAGCCCAAATTTTCAGCTTTATTCATGCTGATGCACGCACTTCTGAGCTCAGAAAAAACGAAGGCCGAGAAATGAAGACCCCCGTTACTGGCTGAGTTCCTTCTTTGACTTCAGTTTAGAGGCATCCGAACGTTTGCTTTTCATGCCGTTGGGCGATACAGCATGGGGAATGAAAACATGCGAGCAACTTACATGAAAGCAATATAATCGCATCATAGAATTTGGAGAATGTTTCAGGTGGTGTTGATAGGATTCTGAAGCAAATGGAGACTTCCAAAGTATTCCTTTGGAACACTCACTTATGTCACAGAGCGGTCGAAAAGACGAAAATAAATCCTATACTTTGATCGATCAAAATCCTTCACTCATGAAATAGATTTTCTCCAAGACGGATCTGTTTTCTTCCGCTTCGTTGCTAGACCATATCAACAACTTAGCGACATTGTTCCAAACGTTTCCTACTACTTTAATTACCTCGGATTAGCTAAAGACGAATATTCATATTCCATACATTATCATTATCATAGCTAAAGACGAATATTCATATTCCATACTTATGATGTACATTATCAGTCTTATTTATAGTCCCGGTTTTTAAATGGGCTTAGAGATTTAGTTCCTGTTACAATCGTCGCATCACAAAAGTGGCATTAAAAAAGACCGTTTTGCAACCGTTTTCTGCTGATGACGACTTATCACCGGTTTATTGACTGAGACAACTAAGATAAACGGAGCTAAGTAAAATGGGTAAACGCTTAACGCTAGCTTTTTTTCTGTGCGTGAATTCGAAGTTTACCCGCTGCTTTGTTGTCTTGAAAAAAGAAGTCAGCAGATTCGTATCGAACGAAGTATATGGTCCGTGCCTGTTTATCAAGACCCTATAAGACTATGTTAGATATGTCTGCCACAATTTATCTATCTCTGTTGCTGAACAATGCCTGTCTCAGACCCTGGAGTAGCTCTCATGTCTGTCTTGGCTGTGGTGAACTCAGTCCGGTATGGCTCATCATATCACATCGTCCACTATGGTTACAAATGCTGTCAACGATTAGCTCTACCTCAAGCTAACTGTATAAAATACCTTGGTGCTATGACGTGTGATCTGAAATGATCTGAAAACGTTGTTGGACTCCTACCGAAAACTTTGAGGATTCAGTCGTCTCGCGGAAGATTGCCGTTCGGGTTATCCGAGCACTTGCCACCGAAATACAGGTTGGTTTTTATAGTTCACGAACCTATTTTCAGCGGAATAAAAAATAAGAATAGGTTGTCAGCATACCATGTTTTCGGCTTTTATCAGTTTACCGAAATATAAAAAATAAGAATAGGTTGTCAGCATACCGTGTTTTCAGCTTTTATCAGCTTACCGAAATATCCCTCTTAAGTTGCTTGGTAAACACTTCGATCGAAAGATACATGAATCCACGTACAAATCGTTCCCAGGCGATTTCTGATGAGTTTTCTATCAACTGAGATACAGATGTGATTGGATGTCTCTCTCGAAAGCATGTCTCAGTCAGAATTTGTGTGCAATTTACTTCAAGGATATCTGTGTGCGAAAGCTGTGGTTATCTGCGTCACCCGCTAACCTCAATCATTCCTTGAAGCCGAAAATGTTGAAATAATGGGAGTTTGATTTTCCACATTGCCAAGCTTCAATGTTCAATCAAGTACCCAGTTTTTTCTCATTTTTTTAACCTCCTGAATTTTCATATACATACTTACTTCGGTATTCTATATCAAGTGGTTTTGTCTGAAGATTCGAAAATGAGGAATGAGGAAAGCTTCTGGTTTTGTCTCGTAAATTCGGATGTCTAAGGCGACCATTGGAGAGCCTTATCAGTGAAAACATCTGTTTGCTTTTTGGGTGCTCTCTGGTGCATGTTATCTTCTTTAAACAGGTTCAGTAATAAAAGTTGTAACAAGGGGTATCGTTCCAGACGTAACACACTACTCATAAAATTGCTGAATCTCTATCAATTGGAAAATCCTTGAAACTGGGAACTTTTACGGTATGGATACTTAATGCATTTGACACTTGATAGGATTTTGCTTGTTTGCAAGTGTTAGGCTACCTCATCTGACAATCCAGTGCATAGAGAAGGAGGTTGATGAACTGTGGTGAGTTTGAACACTCTGGTGAGTCACGTTTTTGCGCTACGCACATCAAAAGTGCAGTCTGTCTAGACTAATTTGTGTCATCAAAAAAACACTTTGTTCCTTTTACTAGGCATGTAGACGAGTGCATTTCGAATGTCAGTTTCACGAGAGACTTTTCAAATTGCGTGAGACAGTTTTGTGCGAAACTTATAGAGTGATAGATCAAACATCTCCATTTCCCACGATTTCTTCTAGTCTATATTTGCATACATGTCAAAATACGGTCACACCCCAGCTCACTGTTTATCCAGCTACACAATAGAACGGTATTTTTTCTGGGATGTCATAGCCTAGTGGATGGTAGAATCCAGACGAATAATATGGGAAAACATTACCCTTTAATAGCGGTTCAACCCAGACTGGTGAGATTATATTCACTTTCATCAAATTTCTGGCCAGAAAGTAACATTAGCCGTACGTTTTTCCGTTTGAATTCCAATAGTGCTATCTCACACGCAAGAAAACTTTTGCTCAATGGTTTTGACCGGGAAGGCGATTAGTCCCTAAAGTGAGCTATTTAGCCTTTTTGAACTTACCAGTTCAATCATTCTGGCAAAGCTATACTCAAGCGGTTTGTTCCAATCGCTGGCCATTGGTGTTGTACATTGTCGACCGTTACGCGAGGTTTCATTTCCGTCATGTTACTCTCTGCCAAGCTATCCAAAGTGATCACACACTCAGCGATATACAGGCTCGTTTAAAAAATTCCCTATTTTCTTGTCCAGTTTCTTCTTCGGTTCATTTCAGAACGTGGAAACTGTCATGTTGGTTGTGATATACAGCTCGTCAAAAACGGCACCGGCTTTGTAGACGCCACAAGAAACGGTAGGCAATGTGTGAACCTGTTTACATGTTTTTAAACGAGCTACTACGGACGCACCATCGTAGATCCACTTGTCACAAGCATTCAGAGCTTCTCCCCGTTCGAATAAGAAGCGGTTATTTTAAGTGTTCTGTGCACTAACATCCCGATCACATGTCTACTTTGACAACCCGACAAGCACGGTGAGTGTCTTTGGGAATGTCCTAGTTTGGATGGATCAGGTGCCTCTTGTTGAATCGACATAACCCAGTTTAATTATTAAAGGTTTACATGGTATTATTAGTTGTTTTAAACTTGCCTGCATCAATCCTGATCAACTTGATAAACAAATGAGCTTCTCTTTGATAATATCCAAAGCTATCTCATAATCGGAATTGGGCACTTGCCCGCAGATGAAGCATTGTACATGTTTCGCCTTTGCTGCAGACTTTCTTTCCAGGAGGCATAAAAGTAGTCGGCAGTAAAAAAAACCGAAACTACGTTTTAGTACTTGACAAATTTGCAAAGGCCTAAAGATGTTTTATTGAAATTAATCAACCTACATACTTCAACTTTTCTCATTATTCAACTTATTTGGAATGATTAGCATACAGTATGGAAGGATTTCGCTCTAAAAATTCGCAGCTTTTGCCTTTCTGATCTTGGGTTTACAGACACCGGATTCCCTAAAGGGCAATTTATTTTGACCTCAGTTTTATCCTAAACAGTCAGGCTACATAAAAGTGGTTTACTGTATCTAATTTCTAATGTCTGCGCTGCAAGCAAAGTCAGGAAGCTTTCAGCGAGTCGAGAATGTCTGGATTTCTGTTCTCATTTTGTTTGAAATCACCAGATTTATACAAAACTTTGGGTAAATTTAAACCTGGGAATCCGGTTAAAAGTCTGAGGACTACGGCATGGAGATTGTTCAGTGGTGTGACCAAGCTGCATTTTGACAGAATAAGTGCGAACATCATCAACTATGGCATTCGCTTCATTCAGTCTGGGACCTTCTGTCGTGATTTCTTCTTGCGGCTGATCGATGGCGTGACTACTTCGCAGTAGAACGAGACATAGTGCCTTCACCGCTCCAGTCACGTGTGCAACGTTCGAGCCCCATAATGATTATTCTTCTTTCTGAGTTACCGCATTTCGGACTACTAACCGCTAGTACACAGGCTCGAATCTTGCAGGAGAGAGACACCCAGTGCTGACGACCCTTAACAGTGGTGAAACAGGTGTACAGTCCTTCTCGGCTTTCACTCCACCTGCAGGTCGAACCCTTGATTAAAAATCTGTGGTTGATACCAATATTCCGGGCCAAATGACCTTAGAAATTTACAGCCGGTTTTCAGGCGTTCGTGATCCTTCTAAACCATGTTTATTAGAGATATAAAATGCCGAAAAATCATTTGATACCCAGTGTTTGAAGATTCTCGCCAATCATGAAGAACGTATATGCGTTGCTACTATTCCTCACCAGTAATGATCGGTAAGGTCCGGTAGTCTTCAGCTTGCTCTCTAAGCGGATGACACTCATTCTCATTCCTGTTTCTTGGATTTAGTTACTCACCACCACTGTTACCCCCCAATCAGAAGTATTAAAATTAGACTCATGAAAACTCAGGCAACAAAGTTGCTAATGCATGTACCGGGTGTGGACATTTGTCTTAGATGATTACGGTCAATTAACTTTCAACCGGCTTCAGAGATCATGTTGACTCAGTAGTCGACTCAGGGCAAAGGACGATACAGTTAACACAAGGGACAGTTTGCCGAAGGCGTTTCCACCGCTTTCATGTGAGCATGAATTTTCATGAGAAACATTCAGTGTTCACTCGTGCATCAAACTGCTTTGAAGTTCAAGTGATTGGCTGAATCCGTGTGACTCGAGAGCACTCAAGCGGGTTATAGCTTTTTTTCTCAAATTTAGCGTGATATTCGTGTCGTACGCGCCGCGGGTGCGTTCTGCTGACTCATCTCCACTCAGCTTTGGAAGCAGTGAAGTTTAGACCATAGGACTTGACTTCGTTTTTTTAATCACGCAGCAATTTTACCATCGAGACGATCGGGACTCAGTTGCTAATGTGTGAAATCTTTTGACAGATTTAAGTAAACTCGTCGTCAAAAAACAATGTCACTACGACACAAATCAACTGAAAGCATGTGAATGTTGTAATAATTCCAACAGGCCAAGGCATAGTGCACCGTGTTCACCTCTATAAAGCCGTACATTTATTTGCCCATTTTGTTTTTGGGTACTTTGTCATCATTGTACCAGGAGGACCATCGACACTCCACATCATTCCAAATCTGGCCAAGCGAAAAACGGAGATGTGAACTGAAGTCAACGAACTATGGAAGGTATAGAAAAACCAAGGTCCATATGTACTATAGGAAATAGACAACCAAGCGATGCAGCAAAATACAGGATCAGATGGAAGCAAGTTAAGCAATTTCAGTGTGACTTTGCTGTCGGATCAGCAACCCTGTGAGTAGTTTCCTTTATGAAACCTTTTGATCATTTGCAGAAAACATCTCGATCTTTGTTTTGTACGCCTTCGTGGTGAAATGCTAATCAAGTGGGTCTAAAAATATCAGTGGTTTCATTAACAGTGGACTGGTAGTATGGGCGGCTGGATGTCAATCGCTGTGAAGGTATTATACATCTTATGCTGTTTTACGCGTTTCACTGTGAGATAGAGTGTACGAAATGAATTCACTTACTAACGATTTTGTTCTTCTCTGCCTTGTTCAAGCACAGCGTATCGTCAGATGTACACACAACCAGAACAGGATTAATGAATAACACTTGTGATAAATTTTTCTGATATTTTATCATATTATTTACATAAGGAAAGAGGTTGTGAAAAGAGCAAGTCGAGTGTTAGCTTTTGGTTCGATCGGCTAAAACCTTTTGCAGAAAAATACCTGGTATTTTCCACGAGAGAGACGCATTGACTTTGAGCATGTGGCCGGTCAGTCGGTTGACATCAAACACTATTTAGGAAGAATTTCAACTTCCATACAGATATTTTCTTTCCCCTCTAAGTGAATTTGCTCCATTGTTTGTAACTACAAAACTGACTGTGGATGCAATGGCTTGGCGGCCTGGCATAAAAAAGAACTTTCGTTTCCGTGAAAGTGTGATTCATGCTGAACAGAATCTCACAATGAGTCATATTTCTCGTGGCTGACTCTAAAGGCGACAAGTTACGACTGTCGTTAATCGGCTTACTGGAAACCCGCTGTTTGTTTTCATATAAAGTATCGTCACATAGTCCGTAAATAATGCCTCCTTTGCTTATCGCCTCACCATTTGTGTCTTGCACTCCCGGGGTTTGTTGCAACTACCACGAATAATTGTTTCAATGTGTTCTGTCATTGTGTGAATGGCGAGTATAAAACGCGGGAATTTGTTTCCGTAGTATATACAACAATTCGCCAATGGTCTTGTCAACAACCCCCCTCCCGTTGCAGCATGGTTTGCCTAATAAATAACCATTTACAACACTTGCAGGCCCATGTTTTTCGACAAGGTCATTGTGTTTTTACCAAGATGGGGTACATTTTGTCTACAAGCCACAACATATCAACAAGACGATGACTAACACCCTCTGCTTGCTCGTCACAAAAGACAATGGTTTGATTAATTTCCACGGCACCCGAGGGCCTGAAAATGAAAAGGCCGAATGTAAACAGTCACACAACAGTCTGTGGAATAATGCCTGTTATTAAGGAGACTACTGTTGTGATAAAAGGACATCCTAACATCAAGAACATCACAAACAAGAGATTCAGCTGGGTTCCAGGTGAATCTCTCGAAAAACCAAATTAGTTTGCTAATGAGTGTATATTCGCTAAGGACGTTTTAAGTTATTTTACTATGACCGATGTCTAATCACGAAAGTTCTGATGATTAACACAGCCACGAAAAGTCGCAACAACGGAGAATAGGTCGGTTTCTTGACTGTACGCCATACCAAATCTTCACTTTTCCAGGCAGTTCTGTACTAGGGTGAGCCTGCTTCCAAGTACCAGAAGTAGATGCATCCTTAAATGTGCTCTGGATTTGACTCATCAAACATACGTTACGGTGTAACTACGAATCGACGAGAACTAAAGCGAATTTTTATTGAACTGTAATGCTCTCCACTTTTCTGACTACCGGCGAAACCACTGGTGAGTTTTTCAACAAGCTTTGGAATAGTGTGTTTTTGTCAAGCAAATACACTACCAGACCTCGGACACCGTTCAAATGAAGTGAGACAGCCTTTCGGCAGCACATCCAGTCCGGTTAGGCCTATCGTTAAAACCCGAGTAAGTTACAACTCTCAGAAAGTTTGTTGTAAAGCAGCACCTCCACGAATATGATGTCCGAACGTTTGGACCACAACATGCATCAACTAGAAGTATCGGCTTTGAGATTCTAGAAGGGGGAAATAGATATCCACTTATGTGGATTCAATTTGATACGCCACACGACACACGCCGTGTTGGTCTGACGGAAGCGACACCCCAAAAAGGGCTGTTTGGTTAGCTTGAATTTAGCGGAAGGGTAATGGACGGATCGTTGCCATAGGATCCGACACCCCAAAAAGGGCTGTTTGGTTAGCCTGATTTTAGCGGAAGGGTAATGGACGGATCGTCGCCATAGGATCAGGAAAATACTTCCGATCGGTTCAAAGGTGAGGTGAATAAAAGCCGAGCTACCGGTATCGACACTGCCCAACTTAGCTCACGAATTTTATAGGGACTCCGTAGGTACTGGCAATATTATTGTGTATCTCAAAATTATCCTCAGTTTTGGCTAAACTAAAATATTTGCAGTTGCCAACAAAATCTCAACCATGCGTGTGCTATTTGTTGCCCCTTAAGCAGCCAGCTGGAAACGTCTGCAGGATGAGGTTACAAAATGAAACAGAATATCTGCTGATAACGCTTTATTGCTACCAGTTTCCGAATGAAACGAACAAACAAGAAGGTGGATCGTCCGCACAGGTTTGTCACAAGGAATCACTGAGAGTGACTGTCAGACTATTGCACATTACATTCCTGACATCGAGGACTGCATGCCTGTAAAACAACTAAGTGTTTTGAAGTTTCGTGCAACTATTTCCAAGAAACCAAAGATAAATCTGAAAACCCAGTTAGCAGTAATTCTTCCTCGCACTTCTTGTTTCGCCAATCCAAATACATGTACACAAGAGTCCAAAGACTCAAACACTGTTGGTCAGCACGTCTGTCTCAAATGCACACCCGTTACACTCTGCGCAAGGACTCCCATAACGTTCGGTGAACGTTTGTTGATGCCTTCGCACCTGCCGACACTTCATGGCCCTCATTTCACATTTCAGACACTGTTTAGACTATAAACTTCACCTTTATTTCCCTTGACGTTTACGTCGGATCTGCTCAAAGACCTGTGGTACAATCAATGCGTTCGTATTGAATCATTCCTATGTATTAATCATTGACTCTTCTATTCATTTCCATTATGGCATNTCCGTAAGCGTTGATACCCCCCCAATCTCGCAGTAGTACTCTACACCTTGCAGGTGTGAAGCGCATTTATAGATTATATATATATATATATATATATATATATAGCGCTGCAACTAGTTTAATATTTCAAGCTGGCAAAACAGGCAGTTGATAAACAGCGTATCATAAAGTATTTCTTGTTATTAAAACTTAGTCTATGACATTAGTTTTTTTTTCAATCAGGTCTGCACAGGTCTCATAAAATTCTGTAAATTACGGCAATTCGTCTCAGTGTTACAGATTTCACTCGGGGACAGCAGAAGGACATCTCTTGTGCGCCGCACCTAAGTGCACTTAGATGAAACCACTGTACTTACTTACATGGCTACCTTTTTTAGCTTTGTCGATAAGTTCCGGAATTCGATCCGCTACTCATCGTCACGAAAACTAAAAATGTCAGCCAGGAAAACATGCTCTTTTTGAACACGCTTGCCAAACTCAGGATTTCTTCGGTGAGAGTTGCCGTCTATGCAGAAAATATCGGCGGGAAATTCAAAGAAGATAAAACTGGTGATCGA